GTAACCAACATTCTACCTTCTGTCTCTATGATTTTTGACTAGGTATATTAGTGGAATCATACAGTATTTGTCTTTTTGTGACTGGCTTATTTCACTTAGTATAATGTCCTCAAGGTTCATCTATGTTGTAGCATATGTCAGAATTTCAGTCCTTTTAAAGGCAGAATAAAATTCCATTTTATATACCACATTTTGCTTATCCATTCATCTGGCAATGGACACTTGGGTTGCTTCCACGTTTTAGCTATTGTGAATAATGCAATGAAATGAGTGTAGAAATATCTCTTGGAGACCCTGTTTTCAATTATTTGGGGTATATGCCCAGAAATGGAATTGTTGGATCATATGGTAATTCTATTTTTAATTTTTTGAGGAACCACTATACTGTTTTCCACAGTAGCTGCACCATTTTACATTCCCACTGGCAGTACACAAGGGTTCTAGTTTCTCCACATGCTTGCCAACACTTGTTATTTTTTTTTGATAGTAGCTATCTTAACGAGGTAGTATCTCAGTATAGGTTTGATTTGCATTTCAATAATTATTACTGAGTGCTTACTGGCCATTGATATATCTTCTTTGAAGAAATGTCTATTTTTTTCTTTCAAGTTAGGCTTATTGAACTATAATTTACATACAGTAAAATTAACCTTTTTCCAGGGCACAGTTCCGTGAGTTTTCACAAATATAAACAGTTGGGTAACCACCAAAAGCATTGAAATGAATGCTACAGATAACTGGATATCAGTAGGAAGAGAAAACCTAATCTATACCGTATTTTACTTACTACTGTAAGTTCTGGATGGATGAAAATCAAGATATTTCAGAAAGCAGTAAAAGAAAAGGCCGGAAATGTAATTACCCCACTTTTAAAAGAGAATTTTATGACTCAAACAAATATAAGAAATAAACAATGACTAAGACAAGACATTGTGTACCTCTGATCTCAGTATGAAGTACTTAACATCATAAGAGATAAGGACAAAAAATGTTTAACTGGAATCCAAACACACCGTTAGATTTAACTTCCGATTCACGGGAATTATAAGGATTAAGCTAACAGTACCACAAGGATAGAAATGGCAAATCCAGAAGGTGGGACATAAGACACTGGCCTGCCTCTCAGAAGGTCAGTGTCATTAAAGCAAGAACTGTTTAAGATTTTAAAAGACTTTAAAAAAATTATTGCAAATTTAAAGAAATTTAAGGTATATATCACCCAGGTGTAATACGTGCTCCATGAGATTCTGGTTTGGACATATTCTGAAGGAAATTTGGGTGATGTATAGGGAAATTTGTAGATTAGAAATAAGATGATAAAGAATTATTAATTTTATTACATTAAATGTGATAATATTTTGCTATGTAAGAAAATGACCTTTTTTGAGATGTATATGGAAGTATTAGTGATAGAGTGTCATGCTGTCTGTGCTTTACTTTAAAATACTTCGAAAAAAATAGTGAATTGAATGAAAAAACTGGACATGACTAGGTAGAGAAATTCCATCACAAAAAATTCCAACTTTGTAACAGTGGGAAACTATAAAACTAAAACATAAGCTCTAGGATTGGAGTGGAAAAAGATTTGCAATCAAAATGATTAATCTGTAAAATAAAAAGAGACTTAAAGGAAAATTAGTCAAGTCCCCACTTCTCAGTAAACTACTACTTCTGAAAAATGTTTGGTTTCACTGGTACCAAAATTAATGAAATAAAAAAACTACTGTGAGATACTATCTTATACCTAATAATGAACCTTATTCTTTTTTTTTTTTTTTCTTTTTTTTGAGACAGTGTCTTGCTCTGTTTCCCAGTCTGGAGTGCAGTGGTATCATCATCTTTATTCTTATAATACTTTCTTTTTTTTTTTTTCGAGACAGAGTCTCACTTTGTTGTCCAGGCTAGAGTGAGTGCCGTGGCGTCAGCCTAGCTCACAGTCAACTCAATCTCCTGGCTCAAGCAATCCTACTGCCTCAGCCTCCCGAGCAGCTGGGACTACAGGCATGTGCCACCATGCCCGGCTAATTTTTTTATATATATATCAGTTGGCCAATTAATTTCTTTCTATTTATAGTAGAGACAGGGTCTCGCTCTTGCTCAGGTTGGTTTTGAACTCCTGACCTCGATCAATCCACCCGCCTCGGCCTCCCAGAGAGCTAGGATTACAGGCGTGAGCCACCTCGCCCAGCCATCTTTATTCTTATAATACTTTCTGACATCAATTCTGCCTTTTTCTGTTATTGATACTGGTACATGAGCTTTCTTTTGACTAGTATTTGTCCAGTACAGTAGTAAGTCATGGCTTAACTCCTAGATAAGTTCTTGGAAATTGTAACTTTAATTGAAACAATGTGTAAGGAAACCAGTTTTACCACAGGCTAATTGATACAAACAAAAGTTAAGTTCCTATGGCATATTTCTTGTCACAAAAATATCATTGAACTTTCAAATAAAAGCCAAACACTTCTAATATTACACATTGAAATAAATGTGAGCTATGTATACATTTAAGAACAATTCCTAGAAACAAGTAAGATAATTATTTACCCTCTTACTCTAGTTTAGGGTCAAGGGTGGACAGAGCCTCTCCTGGCAACTCAGGTGTGAGGTGTGCACCAGCCCTGGGCAGGACATCCTCCCACCTCAGGGCGAATCAACACACACTCACACTACAACCGTGTAGACGTACCAGTTCACCCAACAAGCATATCCCTGGCATGTGGGAGGACACTGGAGTGCCCAGAAAAAATCCACACAGACATGGGGAGAATGTGCAAACTCCACACAAACAGTGGCCCCGCTGGGAATTTTTTTTTCTTGTAAACAATATAATGAAATGAGGTTATTTGAGGACCTGCTGTATATCTTTTTAATCCCTGATTTTCAAACTTTCCTATGTCATTTTGCATTAAGTGTATCTCTTGAAAATAGCTGTTAGGTTATTTTAATGCAATTTTGTAGGATTTGCCTTTTAATAGATGAGATTAATCTGTTTTCAATTACTGTGATTCCTGGTAAATTTGAACTGACTTATCTTATTCGGTGCTTTTTCTTTGCTTCTTTTCCTTCCCTGCTTTCTGGATTGACTGAGCTTTCTTTATTCCTTTGTTTTACTCTACAGGTTTGGAAGATATATATTCTATTTCTATTCTTTTAAGTGAGTATTCTTAAAATTTCCACAATCCTGTTGTGCAGCCCATCTTTAGCACCCTTCGAACAGTACAAGAACTATAAAATGTGCCAGCTCTGATCATCCCTTCCACTTCCCACAGTATCGCTGTTCAGTGTTTTTGTTCCTCATTGTCTTGAAATAAGGAGCAAAATAAGTTAAATATTATTTTTTAACAGCATAAGTTATTTAGGTGAATGTGTGTCTCAAACTCTTCATTCCCACTGCCCCTTACCTCACTCCCTCTTTCAGGGTTCGTTTGCTCATTGCATTGGGACAACCATTAAAGCCTAGTGCTGATAGACCTTCAGGGAAAGAAATCTCTCTCAGTGCTGATGCCAGGATTAAACAAAGTTAGAAAGTGCTTTACCAATCATAAAGCACTGTGAAAATACAAGGGATTTCTTTTTTGTGCATTGATTATTTTCAGAGGGTGATCTGGTAAAGTGTAACAAAAACTATAAAAATAATCACACGAGTTCCTTACTAGAAGGACATATATTCTTTTAATTTTACAAAGAGGTTTCTAGTAGCATTGTTTAAAATTGCAGAATGTTAGAAGCCACCTTAATGCCTACAAGTTTGGAAATGGTAAAGTAAACTACATACACCAGTTTCATCCAATAGCAGGTGACCATCAAAATAATAAATAGGAAAACTATATAGATATATGAAAGAGAAATATTAATAAGCAAAAAAATACAAATTGCATATATTCACTGAATGCAACCCTGTAAAACTGTCTATGCATTAGTAAAGTTTGGAAAATATCATCAAAAAACTGATAATTGCCATGTCAAGGGGAACAAGTTCTGGGTTTATTTTCCTATAATGTTATTTATCAGTTAAAAAATTATATTAAAGATATGCTTGGGGATTTAAAGGATGGAAGTTAGAATACAGTGAAAAAGAGAAAGAGATGCTATCAATTTACATTTAGTCACCACAAAAATTTGGGGCATCATGCCCAGATGATTGATTAGAATCAGTTCATGGAAAAGCCATTTGACCTTAAAGGACTACATGCTTGGTAAAAACCACAGTTATCAGTTTCTAAAAACACGTTGCCAATTTGTAACCCACTAATAGAAATAAAGGCTTTAAGGCAAAGGATGAATATTACCCACTAATATAACTTTTCAATATTAAAGTCCTTTCTCTAAACTATATAATTACCAAAATGTCTTTAAAAAGCAGGTTGCCAATTTCTTTCTATTCCCCTAAAATAATGTGGATTTTTAAAAATCTCATGGTAGTTCACATTGGCTTGGTGTCTCTGAGTCTTACACTTTGCTCTTTTTCCCAGAAGCCAGAAATGTTCCAGTCACTGCAGACTCCCGGCGTCAGGGAACAGACTCCTTGAGTATCCATAGCGCAGCAAGTCTTCTCTTAACTTTGTCTACAGGCTTTTGGAATCTACGACTTTAAGTAAAATGGCATATAATTAAACCAGTTTTGCCATAGGCCAATTGGTATAAATGAGAGTTAAGTTCCTACAGCGTATTTCTTCTCACAAAAATATTATCAAACTTCTAAATAAGACCAAAACACTTCTTAATGTTAAACATAATTGTGAGCTATACATACATTTAAGAAAGATTCGTGAAAACAAGTAAGACAGCCAGGCGTGGTGACTGACACCTGCCTGTGGTCCCAGCTACTTGGGAGGCTGAGGCAGGAGGATTACGGGAGCCCAGGAGTTCTGGGCTGCAATGAGCTGTGATAGTGCCACTGCACTCCATCCTGGATGACAGAGTGTGACACTGTCTCAAAGAACAAAACAAACACAAACCCCACAAACAAACAAAAAACAAGTAAGATAATCATTTACCCAGTTTTTTCAGTTCCGGGTCTCCAGTGGCTGGATCTTCTACAGGCAGCTCGGGGCACCGAGCCTGGACAGGGTGCCAGTCCATCACAGGGCACAGCCACAGGCACTCACACTGGGACCATGTAGACATGCCAGTTGACCCAATGTGCACATCTTTGGGACGTGGGAAGAAACCAGCATATGCGAAGAAAACCTACTCAGACATGAAGAGAACATGCAGACTCCACACAGACAGTGGTCCAGCCAAGAGTCACTTGTTTCTCATCAATGATAGAATAAAACCACACTGAACTAAACACTGTTATTTGAGGACCTGCTGTATTGACATTAATTTGTTCAAAGAATACTACCAAATGCATGCTTGTTCATTCAGGTACGTATTCAACAAATGCTGAATGCCTACAATAGGGTAGTCCTTGAGGATAAAGAGATCAATTAAATAAAAACTTTATTTTCAAGGAGTGCACAGTCTAGTGGTACAGTAAAGAGGTCAAGTGCATGACATTCATGGAATACAAAGTCCTTTTTGGGGGAAGGATGGGGACAGGGTCTCACTGTCTTGCCCAGGTTGGGCTCAGTCTCCCCTCCCACCTCAGCCTCCTAAGCAAAATCTTTTTAATACTAATAATAATGGTAAAGCATAATCATTAACTTTTTTCAACTTTCAGTGTCATTTTTTAATAAACTTTCTATGTTAAATAATATAAGCTTTACAGAAAAGTTTCAAGAATGCTATAGAGTTCTGAAGCTCCTTGCACCCAGTTTCCCCTGTTGTTAGCATCACTGTGGGGCGTTTGTCACAACTAAGGAATGAATATTGGTACATTATTAAACTCCAGGTTTTTTCCAAATTTCCTTAGCTTTAGTAGCACCTATTGCCTTTTTTCTGTTCCTGGATCTCATCTAAGATACCACATCACCTTTAGCCTCTGGGTTGTGATTATTTCTCAGATTCTTGTTTTTCATGACTTTAATGATTTTAAGGAGGACTGTTCAGGCATTTTGTCCTTCCATTTGGGTATGTATAGTGTTTTCCTAATGGTTACATGAAAGTTATGGGTTTAGGGGAGGAAGATGACAGGGACAAAGTGCCATTCTTATCATATCATATCAAAGGTACATGCAATTAACATGACCGTCATTGTTGACCTTGACTGCCTAGCTGAGGTAGTGTTCATTGGGTTTCTCCACTGCAAAGTTACTCCTGTTATTCTTCCCTTTTCATACTGTTCTCTTTTAAAAGAAGTTACTCTGCGAATTCCACACCTAAGGAAAGGGGGATTATGCTTCACCTCCTAGGGTGAAGTATCTACATATATTATTTGGAATTCTTTTGTACAGCAGATTAAAACCATTAACTTTTGTTTGGAGTTTTACATGAATAAGCTCTTTCAAATACATTATTTTATAGTCCCTACTCTGAGAAAGTTTGCAGTCAGGTTAGAGTAATCAGACTCATAGAAGAAAAGTTAATGACTATGACAGCATTTTCACAATAGCCAAAAGATGGAAGCCACCTAAGTGTTCATCCACAGACCAATGGATAACTAAAACATGGTGTATACCTGCAGCGGAATGTTATTCAATCTTACACAGGAAAGAAATTCTGACACATGCTACAACATGGAAAAACCTTAAGGACAGACATTATGCAAAGTGAAATAAGCCAAAGAGTAGTCAAATTCATAAAGACAGGCCCAGGCACCTTGGCTCATACCTGTAATCCTAGCACTTTGGGAGGCTGAGGCCAGATAATTGCTTGAAGCCAGGAGTTGAAGACCAGCCTGCACACCTTAGCAAGATCCATCTCTACAAAAAATAACAAAAATTAGCCAGATGTGGTGGTACATACCTATTAGTCCCAACTACTTGGGAGGCTGAGGCAGGAGGATTGCTCAAGCCCAGAAATTGAGGATGCAGTGAGGTATGACCATGCCACTGCACTCTAGCCTGGGCAACAGAATGAGACCTTGTCTCAAAAAAAAAAAAAATTCAGTCAGTTAGCTGAGACTCCAGCAGGTTTGCAGTCATGGCTTGTTCTCCCTGAGGGGACGAAAGAGGGGAGGATTAGCCATGTCACCCTTGATCGGAAGCATGACCAGCACTGCGAAAGCCCCAGGGCCATTGGCCCCTACAGACAAGCTGTATTAGTCAACAGGACTGTTTACGTTTCAGGACAGGTAGGCATGGACCCTTCAAGTGGACAACTAGTGCCAGGAGGAGTAGAAGAAGCAGCTAAACAAGCTCTTAAAAACATGTGCGAAATTCTGAAAACTGCAGGCTGTGACTTCACTAAGGTGGTAAAAACAACTGTTTTGCTGGCTGACATAAATGACTTCAATACTGTCAATGACATCTACAAATAGTATTCCAAGAGTAATTTTCCTGCAAGAGCTGCTTACCAGGTTGCTGCTTTGCCCAAAGGAGGCAGAATTGAAATCAAAGCAGTAGCTGTCTGAGCACCTTTTGCACCACCATTGCTATAAGTGGGCCCACTGTTTAGTCTGGAATTTTTAACATCTTAATTTTATAGTTGATTTAATAACCTCTTAATTTTTATAATTGATAGAAGCATAAACTTGATTAAAATATCTGAAGTTATCATGGAAGTAGCATATAATAGGGATAGTTGCACATGAATGAAGATTAGACAATGAATCCAGTTGCTGGTGTGTAAACTACACTTACTGACTGAATGTAGGAAAGAGATACTCATTACATAGTTACTCAGATAAATAAAGGGAAATAACAGATAGGAAAGATGAGTTATTATTTCTGAGAAATAATCAAAAGCATGCCTAATCAAACTAATGATGTGAAATATTTAGTTCTCATGTCAGATCTATGATTCTTTTAGTTGAATAAAATTAAAGTATTTAAATATGAATGACAGAGGTCTAGGAGAAGGAATTGGACCAAAATTTTATATAACTAATATTTTTCTAATGGAAATAAAATAGACCCGCATATTTAAAAAATATTCATAAAGACAGAGTAGAAAGAAGATGCTGGGAGGAGGGGGAACTGAGCGCTGTGTTTAATGAGCACGGAGTTTCAGTTTTGCAAGACGGAAAGAGTTCTGGTGATTTGTTGCACAACATTATGAATGTACTCAACACTGAACTGCACACATACGAATGGTTAGGGTAGTAACTTTTATGTTATGTGTGTTTTACCACAATTAAAAAATTTTTAAAAAATATAATTTTGATTAAGAAGTATTTTTTTATAGCTAGCCCTCCAATGGGAACCTGCAGTCGTGTTGTAAACAGAGGCTGCCAAGAGGTGAACTGTACAGCGGCCAACATCTGAAAGTCAGGAGATAACACACAATAATCAGGATTACAGGCTTCTTTGGAAAACGGGATGACCTGGCAACATAGGCCCAAGGGTGTCACATGTCAACAATCAGCTGGAGCCGAGTAGCAGCTGGCACCTTGAGACAGGCCGCGCATACTGTAGTTTGCCATGGCTCCCACCACCTTTGCTGGGTTACACCTTGCTCATTTCACTCATTTATTACTTACTACAAATAGTGAGTGGTTGGTGAGTTTTCTCTACTTAGGGAAGGCTAACACAGTGGTATCTCACCTAGGTTGCCTGTGCAGGGCTAGGATGGAATTTAAACACTCATGGCTTTGTGTATTTAAAGTACTAAAATAACAAGTTGTTTGGCAATTCCTCTGAAACCTTCATCTAAGCCCACACTTCCTCAGTGTACATGACAGGCGACAAGGGTGAACCAGAGAGAACTCACATATCATCTGGGCAGAGGAGGCTCCTGCCAGAACCCAGCTTCCGTTCTGAGAGCACCATTTGAGGAGGACCATGACCCAAGCCTATTGTGATTCCCACCTTACTCCTAATAGAGTCACTAACGTGAGCCACTGTTTCTCCGGCAGTCTCAAGTCTCATTTCTCAAGTGTTCAAATCAGACACCTCCAACTGAGAGTCCAGAACTTTAGCACAGACAAAACCAGACATGATACAAGACTGCCAATGAAATCCTGCACTTTTATCCTACCGGTGCAGAGCTGGGATTCCATGTGTGTTAAAGATGTGTCTACTTCCCACTGCCTCTGCTTCTCATATAGGACTGCATCCAGCTTTGTAAAAGGGTTCTGAGTGACAATTTGTGTTTGGTACCATCTTTCCTAGGTGCTCAAGATGATCCTAAAGCCAGGCTTCTAGCGTGCCAACACAGGGCCACTTTGGGGTCTCACTGACACCTTCCATTAAAAACAGCAGCCTGCACCTCCATGGTATGTGCTCAGACCAGACAAGAGGAAGGGGTGTGGTCTAGAAGGGGCCTCATTTGCTCCTTTCTGAGATCACAGGTCTGATCCCCTGATTACAGATACTCACACATGGTCCACCCCAGGTGTGGAAGGACACCTCCATCCTTGTGGGACAAAAAGGAGTGGCCATGCCCGTGCGTTGTGTCTGTGACAGATTTTTATTGGTTGACTTCCCAGCACCTGCGTCCCCCTGACCACTGCCCAGGGCCCCGTATTCTGCAGTCATGCAGTTGAGGTGGGGTGAGGTCCACTCTAGCACCACGGAGAGCCCGGAAGTATGTCCCACACCCTGGCAACAGTTCAAGGGTGAACACTTGTCAGAAAAAGACTAAATTCTAGCACTTTTGACTGAACAATTGACAGGAGTTGGCCACCCTCCCAGTGCAAACAGGTCCCAAGGCAGGATCGTCACAAGGGATATGGAAATAAGAAATAAAGAGATGATATATTATAGATGGAGAAATGATTGAGACAGAGACAAAGAGCAGTTCAAAAGATGGGGGAGTCAGAGGTTCTCAGCTTCCCGCCAACCGAGACCCCAAATGAAGCCCCACATCAGTATTTATTGGTACAGCAAACAGTAGTCTTTCGTTAGAGAATTACATATACGGTTCACTTTTTAAGGTTTCCAGGGGAACCTTACCTAATTCTATCTACAAGAATAGGTGGTCACACAATTTTTCAACGTTAAGCTGTAAGTTAGAAACAGACCAAACTGAGCATACAAATTAAAGATAAAATGTATAAAATGAGAACACTGAGTCTACGTACTACTCTAATCTACTTCTTCTAAACACAGAGACATGTAGTCAGGAGTGAAGCAGGAATAGCCTTGAAGTCCAGGATAGTCCCAGCTGCACGTTATCTGTTGGGCAGGCATTTTAATCAGCTTCTCTGCCAAGGGCCCAAACCAAGCTTCTGCCTTGCAAAAAAGCTCAAGGTGATGACCGGCAGTAGGAGAAACGCTGCTTTGCAAACGTCCTCTGACAATGCCCCCCGTGTTGGAAGCAGATTCTATTTTGTGAACTAACATGTCCACAGATTCCTTCAAGGCAAAGACCTGCAAAACCCCTGAAACTTCTCACGTCTCTTAGTCTATTTCCCAATAACAATCAGAAAAACACAACTTGCTTTTTCCTGCTGCTTGCAAACAGCCAGGAATTTTGACATTATCTTGGGACCTCAGTAGCAGAGCTGCCCAGGAATGAAGTCAAGGAAAAGTGACTGAAGGAAGCAAAATACAAAGAAACCTCAATTTCTGGACTGTTTGGTTATACAAGCCAATAAATTTCCCGTTTATCTTCTCCCACTTTGAGTTAGATTTTTGGTCACTGGCAACAGAAAAGATCCTAATAAAGACCCTACTGAACACAACTTAACCCTGCTAAGTTAGTCTCTGTTTTAATCACTCTCTTCCTACCAGTCTTTCCAGTTTAATTCAAGCAGATCACTCTAGCTGCAACCATGGTAGAATTTAGTCAATTAGAAAAACATTCCCAATTTTTATGTATTTTAGCATAAAATTTGATTTAGTGATTTACATTATACTTTATACATTATACTTTTATACACATCTTTTAAAAGGAAACTCAATCTTTTGATTTTAAGAAATGCAAATGTGGGGCAGTGCTGTATCAACCCAAAGATTTTCTTTTGTAATAGAAAATGTTTTTGAAAGGGGGAAAATAGGGATTTTTATTACTAAAAGATAAAGGAAAATTTATGGTTTTAAAGATATGAAGCATTGGAAACATTTGGTTTCATGATATGCCATTATTAGGCGTTCTCTATCTGATTGTTAGAAATTATTCATTTCCTCAAAGAGAGAGAATAAATGGGTTGAGGATACAATCTTGTACTATGCACTTTCTTTGCCAAAGGCAAAAGCTGAACGTTTCAGAGCCGAGAGAATGCTTCTGCGCCTGGGCTTGCTGGCTCTCGGAGCCGCCTGCGTCTGTGCTGTGCCCATAGACAGCGCCATGAGCACAGTGGTGAGAGAGACCCTGACGCTGCTCTCCATGCACCGGACTCTGCTGACAGGCAACGAGGTAATTTTCATTTTCATCCCTACAGTCTTTAAAAGGCACAGTTAGCCGTTTGTGATGGTTCATGTCCTATGTGTAAAGATCTATTATAAGTAATAAAATTCTGAGTATATTAGTAACACACAGGTGGTAACCACATTGCTAGCAAGCATTACATTAAAAGTTATGAATGCTAGAGTGCTTTAAAGATGATTATATTTCTTTTCCTTTTCAGAGCCTGAGGATTCCTGTTCCTGCACATAAAAATGTAAGTTAAATTATGATTTGATAAAATGATCACGTGCATAAGTAAATTTCCTATCTTAAGCTATAAATCATTAGTTGTCATTGGGACTATTTAATTTTCTGTATTGTGTTTTCATTTGGGTGGATGTGAATGGATGTACGTATAAATATTAGGAATGACTTTTTAACAAGTAGAATCCATTAAACAAGTGGATCTTGCCCTTTGGTGATGTCCTCAGTTCTCCATCCCAAAGAGCCTCATGTCAAGGATTCTTTCCGGAAAGAATCCCACACTGGGTGATAAGAGCCTGCTAGTCTCCGTTTATTTCTGACTATCTTTGGCCTTCCTCACTCTAACGTCTTTCTGAAACTATTAGCAACTTAGAGTTATATTTTTACAATCATGATCGGTAGACATTAAAATATACAGCAAGTGCCCTATATTAATAATATCCGCATATTCAAGTGATATGACTATATAATGGTATTGTATACATTTGGAATGTGTCCCAGTCATATTAAAATGTAAAATATATAATTTCATTAGTCTAAATAGAACAAAATTACCAGCTGTAACTGTAAAAGGAAACATTAATGTGAGTTCAATGGATAATGACATAGTATTATACTTCCTAAACACTTTATTTCTGGGTAAGTAGTTAATTTATATCATTTATAAAACTCCTCAGTAATTGTATAAAGTTCATCTACTTTATGAAAATTTTTAAATGTTTAAAATGTTTAAAACCTGGAAAAGGAACAAACAAAAAACTCTTTGGAGAAAGGAGCTCATGCAAACACCACAAAACAAAGTCTAGCTTTTTAGACCAAAATTTTTTTTCTAATTTATTTTTAATTGACAAATTAAAAAATGTATATATTGATCATATACAACATGACATTTTGAAATATGTAGACATTGTGGAATAACGAATAGACCAAATTTTTATACCTTGTTTTGATTATTTGCATTTTAAAAAGCTTTAAAAATTGATATTTTGCATTTTAAAACTCTTCCCCATTTAGCACCAACTTTGTACTGAAGAAATCTTTCAGGGACTAGACACACTAAAGAATCAAACTGGACAAGAGAATGGTGTGGAAAAACTATTCCAAAACTTGTCTTTAATTAAAAAATATATTGACCTCCAAAAAGTAAGTTGCGAACATTCAGTGGAAACTCTATTTGTCTGGCTGTGCCTATTTCTACGGGAATTGACTGTTCCCTACAATACCCATTGTCATTTCTGTCATTTCTGTTCACAGAAAAAGTGTGGAGAAGAAAGACGGAGAGTAAAGCAATTCCTAGACTACCTGCAAGAGTTTCTTGGTGTAATAAACACCGAGTGGACAATAGAAAGTTGAGACTAAACTGGTTTAGTATAGCCAAAGATTTTGGAAGAAGAGAAGAACATTTTATTGCAATGAGAATGAGAACCAATGAAGGGTGGGGCTTTGATTCGCAGTGTATCTGAACTTCAGAGGCAAAGTAAATATTTCAGGCACACTGCCACTCTACCACCTCACACAGCAGAAAGCAGAAAATATTTGAGATATATTTTAGATATCAGAATCATTGAAGTATTTTCTTCCAGTTTACTCATGGCAAAATTGATGTATAATTTTATCTTGTTTAACTTAACATTCTGTAAAATGTCTGTTAATATTATTTATGCAATGATTAAGAATGTGGTAAATTAATATTTATTTCATGTTATATCATGTTTCAATAAAACAAACAATAGACTATTGTTCAATTTGCTGCTGGCCTCTGTCTTAGCACCTGAAGCTAGCACAGTGCACGTGAGCACATGCTAAGGTCTGGAGGGGTGTCTGAGCTCGTGCTGGTTGAGTGTCCGCTTCTCCCTGGAGAAGCCTCGGGGTTGCAAGGCATACCCAGGGTGGAAGTGATCGTGCAGGACTGAATGGCATGTGGGGAGCAGGGACATGGGCAGGAGCTGAACCTGGTTTCCTCTCCATAGTATACCCAGAGCCTAGGATGGTGCAGGATAAATGGTAGAAAATGAATGAATGGGCAAGGAGTGGTGGCTCATGCCTGTAATCCTAGCTCTCTGGGAGGCCGAGGCAGGTGGATTGTTTGAGCTCAGGAGTTTGAGACCAGCCTGAGCAAGAGCAAGACCCCATCTCTACTAAAAAGAAATAGAAAGAAAATAGCTGGACAACAAAAGATATATAGAAAAACTTAGCCGGGCATGGTGGCGCATGCCTGTAGTCCCAGCTATTCGGGAGGCTGAGGCAGGAGGATTGCTTGAGCCCAGGAGTTTGAGGTTGCTGTGAGCAAGGCTGATGCCACGGCACTCTAGCCCGAACAACAGAGTGAGACTCTGTCTCAATAAATAAATAAATAAAGTGAGTAAGAAAATGAATGAATGACTGGGCTTTCCAGGACTGGCTGTAGAATTAAAATGAGTTATAAGGTTTTCCCTGCAAGGAGAACAGTGCAGGTACCTGTAACTAGGTTTCTTCCCAGTCTATGAGAGGAATTTGGCAAACCAATCCCACTGCCCGTTCAGGGAGGAAGCCAGAAACCCTCTCTGCAGAGGCTGGCCAGACTGGGGCTGGGCCAGGGCCCATGGCCAGGGGGAGTTGCTCCTCACCCCATCTGACATTATGGCATGACAGAAGGAGCAGAGAAGCACTGGTGGGGCGGTCCTACCAGACAGGCTGGGTCCTAGTGGGGCCACTGCCCTGTACTCCCAGGGGCAGAGCAGCCAGGCAGAACAACACTCTGCTCTGCCTGCTTACGACTATCAGTAACGTCACTGGAGAGGCTTCTGTTTGAGAAAACTTCTCAGGGATCTAGAAAATATTTTTAAAACTGAGACAGACATGGAGGAGAGACCCAGTAATGATACTCGGCTATGCCATTAATTCTTTCATTCTTTCATTCAACAAATATTTATGGTCACAGGCCCTGTTCCGGGTGTGGGATACAGCTGTGGGCCCCCACTGGAGGTCCTTAGCGACCAGTGCCACTGCCCTAGGCATTATCTGGGCATTCTACGATTGCAGCCATTGTTGGGCTCCACTGCCGCGTGAAGCGACTGCCCTTGCTGTTTCTGAGCATGGGAGAGGACCCAGAGCGTCCCTCGTAGGGAAGTGCAAGTCCTTTTACGGACGAAGGCGTGTTCTCCTTCCAGCATGCGCCCAGGCATGGGGGTCAGGACCCACCGTGGCACAGGCCCCCACCTGTGCACACACCCAGCCCCAGGAGCTGCAGCCGAGCGGGATCTACGGGCACAGCACCACCGCGCTGATGCTGAGGCTCTAGCAACCGACAGGAAACAGGAAACTCAGCTTGCAAAAAGACTCTCAATTCAATTTGGCAACTGTTTGCTGAGCTCCAGTATGTTCCAGGACTGTTTTAGGGACAAGGATTCATCAGTGAATAAAACAGATAAAATTTCCTACCCTTGTTGACTTACATCTTTCTTCAAAAAGCTCATTTTCCCACTTCTTTATCAGGATCCAATGTAGTTAATGTGGATCTCAGACTGGAGTATCCAAACTGAAGCCCCACTAACGAACCCTCACTAATCTGCCAGGCCCCAGAGAAACTAAAAGCAATTAGGGCTGTTTGTAACTAGCCGAAATGGAGCTTCTCAGATGTTCTGAGGCTTTTTAAGGCAGAAACCATGATTTTCCAGCTGACCCTACTGTCCCTCTAGACACAGGCATCCCGATGGCCCTGCCAGAGGGAGAAGGTTCCTGCCCAGCCACATGGACAGCCCCCACCCCCTCCCCGCAGGCCTGACCACTGCAGGGATCCAGAACGCAGGGCACAGAGGGCTGGGAGGCGCTGGGCGGGCTCCAGGTTATGAGGAACACTTTCCCGAGTCTTGTTTTTCCTCTTAAAAGTTTATCCCCACAGTAGAGAGTCTATTTTCACTTTATCTGAGTGGTGCCACTGTTGCGGCCCAGTGGGAGGAGCCAGCGTGGGCTACTGGGCTTGTTTTTGGAAGGAGGCAGAGGAAGCTTCCCAGGGAACACTCAACACAACGTACCCAAAACCAAGTCGTTCTCTGCCAGCCATCCTCATGCCACAAAACCTGCCGCTGCTTATGCCCCTGTCCTTTTTCCCTGCTTCTTTTGAGATTTCTTACTTTGGCTAACATACTATGACCACCTCCCCATCACCTTTCTGGACGACACCCTGACTTTTACCCTCTGTGTCCCTCTTCCCACCCACAGGTCAGCCTCTGCGCTCACTGATCCCCCCTCTCCATCCCCACTGCTCCCCTCAGCCACCACCAGCTCCCTCCTGTGGGCTCTCCCCACACCTGTGGAGGCAGGACTGCTGACAAAATACACACGTGTCCACATGTCCACATGTGCACAGAGACCTCTGACTCGCTACTGTCTGCCGGGCTCCTTCACAGGTCATGTGAGGTCTACCTCTGCCCCCTCTAACATGCAGAAACAGAAATACAGGCATCGGCCCCTTCACGTCATTGGCAAGAAAATGTTAACCAGGAGCCACCTTTCTGCTATTTTAAATGGGAAAAATGACATTTGCATCACATCAACTCCAAATCCTCAACCAATTTCTTAAAACATAAAACACGGTAAAATGCCTAGATATAAGCAAACACATTAGGATGTAAAAAATTTTTCTAATTGTATTCACTTATGTAATTGTGGTAAAATAGGATGTACAATGTTTACAACAGCACGTCCTGATCGCTCAGCAGCTAAAATGGTTGTTGCTTGTTTGTGTAACGTGCTGTCTGCCCCCTGAGTTGACATTCAGAGCTTTCCTGATTCTCTTCTGAGAACTCTGATTTGCTACCAATTGTATTTGGAATAAACCTAAAGATTTTTTCCCATTGACTCCCCTCATCACTTTGTTTAAAAAGTGTGTTATATTTAGAGTATATTAATATGCCATTTTTCCAATATAAATATTGGTGGGAAAGCATCGTACTGAGAAACACATTCTATGAAGAAATATTCTACAAGGAAAACAGTAATTGGGAAGATGTTCTGTAGGAAATGCTAGCTCTTATTCTTCCCAGAACACCCCGTGAATTTTCACACCTCTGTGCCTTTGCCCACACTGCACGCTTTGTCTCAGGACATCTGTCCTCTCCCAGCTAGTGACCTTGTAATTGCCCTTTAGATATTTTAATTCATCCCTCTCTCTTTTTATTTATTTATTAGAGACAGGGTATCACTATGTTGCCCAGGCTGGACTCTAACTGCTGGGCTCAAGGGATCCTCCTGCTTTAGCCTCCTGAGTAGCTGGGACTATGGGTGTGAGCTACCCCACTTGGCTACCCCTCTCTCTAGGCTATCAAGTCTAGCTCAAATGCTATTTCTTCTTTGACTCTCTCACTGCCTAGCCCAGGAGTGCTTGTTGCTCTCTTCTCAGTGTCCTGCATTACTTTGAACACTTCTCTAACAGAGCTCTTATTTTTCTACTGAAGCATTTTGAGATCCATCTTATACATCTCTGGATATGTATCAGTCAGAATAGTTCAGTTTATGCTGTAGTAACAAATCATCCCAGAACCCCAGGGGTGGAACACAACAAAAGTTTGGTTTTTGGTCACGCAGAGTCTAGTGTGGGGCTGGGCAACTGCTCAGGGCGGCTGTCCTGCATGTATTGGCTCCATGTTCCAGGATGCTTCTATCTTATGATGTGTCTGTATAAACAATCGCTTCTGTGATTGCCTTGGCAGAGAATAAGAGTCGTGGAGAATCACACATCAGTTCTTAAATACTTCCACTCATATCACACTGGATAGAGCAACTCATACTGCCATGAGCGACTTCAAGGTGCAGGGGAAGTACATTTCTCCCATGTGTCCAGAAAGAGAGGAGAATTAGAAATATTCAACGAACACAGTGTTCTAGTGCTTTGCCAAAGAAAAGGAACAAACTACTATTTACTCACCATTGACTATGGGTTAGGACTTTCCTAGACACTAATATCAGTATCTTCATTAACTCTCATCATAAGCCAATGAAAGCCAGTATTACTCCTTTTTTATGATATGGAATCAAAGGCTCAGAGAGTTTAAATTACTGTCCAGTGTCACATTGCTCATACACAATACAGCTGGGATTCAAATCTTGGCATATGCCATTCTAAACCTCCCATAATTTCTGAGAAAGTCTTATTCTCTTGGCCTTAGGAATTCAGTGAACTAGATAAGATGACTGCCTAGCATGTCCGAGCCAGCTCTTTGTGGTCCTCAGCACAGTTAGTGGTGTCCTTAAGTGTCTGGAGGAAGAAGAAAGGAGGAAGAACAAGGGTGGAGGAAGACAGGGTATACAGGGCTCTGTAGAATTCTATCTTTGCTGCTTGTTTTTCTTGCATTCCACTGTGGATTAGAGGAGGCATATTTCCTTAGCTTTGACCCTGCTCACAGCCCAGTGAATAAGAGGAGGTTTTTTGTTTGTTGCCCAGGCTAGAGTGCCATGGCATCAGCCTAGCTCACAGCAACCTCAAACTCCTGGGCTCAAGAGATCCTCCTGCCTCAGCCTCCCAAATAGATGGGACTACAGGCATGCGCCACCGTGCCCAGCTAATTTTTTCTATTTTTGGTAGAGACGGGGGTCTCATTCTTGCTCAGACTGGTCTCAAACTCCTGACCTCAAACGATTTGGCTGCCTTAGCCTCCCATAGTGCTAGGATTACAGGCTTGAGCCACCGTGCCCGGCCAGAGAGAGGATATTAATCCAAGTTCTTAAAAACAGCCCTGCAAACACAGGGAATTCATTTAACCCCCAACCCCCACCCCCCTGAGTCACTGCACCTGTGTTTACTCTGTAGCCAGTGCTGTGGTTACTACCAGGAACCAAGAAAACTTAATTTCCTTGAGAACAAACCATGCCCCTTTCTGAAAAAATCCAATGAGAGCCAACATGATCCACGCCTTCAACATGAAATACTCAGAGTTGTGGCCAGCACTCTGATAACTTGTCCCCAATAAACTGGACCACTCTTTTTTTTTTGAGACAGAGTCTCGCTTTGTTGCCCAGGCTAGAGTGAATGCCATGGTGTCAGCCTAGCTCACAGCAACCTCAAACTCCTGGGCTCAGGCAATCCTCCTGCCTCAGCC